AGATTGTGAGTCGAGCGCCTTATCCACCTGGCCATGATGATCTTTCGTAAGTTTTCTTTTCATTATTCATCTAGTGTATGAGAGCAGCGGCTTCCCAGCGCTTGTTTCAACAGTCTGATCGCTCAGTAATTTACAGGTGCTGCGTCCCGTGACTTGGCCAGTATGTATTCGTCTTGAATAGCACGAATGCTTGTTTCAATATCCAACTTCAGGTCTGCGATGGTTGAATGGATATATCACGGAAGCGATTTGTGTAAATACGACTTGTGTCACTTTTACAGAAGGAGATCCTTCTTGATTATGTTGCTTACTGTTGCCTGGGTAACGTGGTCGGCTTTTGATATTGACTTTTGTGTCCGTTCATTCTCACCTCTTAGAAGAAGCCGAATTTTGCTTACCACGGCTCTATTACGACTTGTTGCAGGTCGCTTTCTAGATGGCCCTGGTGCCCGAGTTGATATGTATTCCGTTGTTTTCCAGTGCCATTAAGTACAAGCGATATCCACATTCTTGGACATTATACATCCATGATCTGAACACATCTTTATGATTTGTGTGTATGAGTATTTTGTACCGGAAGGACTGTTACGTATCATTCCTAAAAACGATCGAGTTTCGGTAGTATCACAATACGTACGAAATGCCAAACAATGTTAAAATGTAGTTTTGATACATGCTGTTACACGTAACTTTATATCGACTCTGGTTGACGCGTGAAATGCTGGCGTGTATATTCAAAATCATTTTATGTAACGTGCTCAACTCTTTGTACTTATGGTTTTGCTTCTGATGAACGGATTTGGTTTTAATGTTTGTAGATGACTCTCTCGACTCTACCATAAAACGTCGGCAATATCATGGCGTGGGCTTGTTTTATATGACATATATTTAGTTCACATCTAATAATTAAAGAAGGTAAGTGATCCTGAACAATGGCTCACTTTCCCATATGGGAAAATACATATTCTTTTCAGTATGGTAATGTACCATGTCATGTCACATACACCATAACCTACTGTGGCTTGAGAAAATGTAATATGTTTTGGTCAAATTGATGCCCCGAACTCAGTGTAATTATACCACCTTAGACATTTTAGAACTTCGCTTGAGGAAAGTAGAGAATAGACCTCAAAATCACATTACACTTAGAGATGTTTTGAAGAAGAGTGGCGATCTATTCCATTCGATGTCTATGAACAATTAGTGACATGCTAGTAACAGAGTTTAAGCTGTGGTTAATGCCAAAAGTTGACTCACGTTTTATTGTAATAGCATGATAAAATAAAAAACACATCTTCTCAATAGTTATACTTAAGTAAGCATTTAACCTCGGTATGTTGTTATAATGTGTTGTGAATATAGTAATATTTCCAAGTGTTTTATCTATTAGGCTGATTATTAAACTTTAGAGTGACAATTATGTTAATTCATGTAATTTAAACTCTTTGTGATAAATCATAAACCATTTTACAAAGTTTAACCAACTTATTGTATCTAAAACTATGACTAGTGTGTTATACAGAACTCTTGAATTTATAAATTATATATCTTAATTTATTACATTAGTGAAATATAAAACATTTAAAGTAATTTAAATTAACTTAGAAACTTTTAATTTCAACTTATTGTATCTAAAACTATGACTAGTGTGTTATACAGAACTCTTGAATTTCTAAATTAGATATCTTTTAATTTATTACATTAGTGAAATATAAAACATTTAAAGTAATGTAAATTAACTTAGAAACTTTTAATTTCAACAAAAGCAATTAATTTTAACTGCAGATAAAATTTCTGTTTAGACAGAACATTTAATGCGAGTTTGATTATCAGTATTTCAGCATAAAACGCTTTCAAGACAGACTGGTAAAAAGTGACTAATTAAGCTCCTCACAGAATATATACTCACGAACGAAGTTTTTAAAAACTGAAGGTCCATTTTTATGTCTAATAATATAACTTTTTGAAATGAGTTTTCCTCGTTTCTCTATATTAATAAAGTTTATTAACTCAGTAGTTAACACACGAGGCCCGTGCTCAGATTCTATTTGACAGTGTCCCAAATCCCCAGTTGATGTCTTGAAAAATCAGAATAGAAAAACCATGATCGATATTATACTGAAACTCTGAAAATTCCCGCGCTTATGGGCCCAAGCCCCGAATCTTTTAAGTACCTAGTGACGCCTCTAAATATAAATGATGTCTACGGATACATTTTTGATTCTATGTTTGTATTCTATAGCATTATTTCAAAAACATATTCATAAGTGAAAATAATTATCACTATATGCGTCGAATAACACCAGTAATGTCATGAAGAGGAATAAAAATGCTTTGAAAATGTTGAAATGTTGAATATGTTTCTTTCAGACATACACAATGATAATGAAAACGAAAAAGTTCCTAGACAGATCAATTGTTATGCTAAATTTGGGAAAGTTTTAGTCAAAAATGTTTAGAGGAAATGTCTTAATTGACATAGACAATTAAAAATTGTACATATAATATGTCTAGAAACGAAACTTATAAATAATAAAATCTTTCCTTTAAAAGCTGACAAAGTTCTTAGACTAATAAACTATTATAGTGGCGATGGACTTTCAAAGTGAACCAATAATTTGATGCTGTTTCAATGGAACTTTAGGCAGAGAAGGCATAGCAGGTTTGAGAACTTTGATGGACTGCAACTGCCTGTTGAAAGAAAATGAGAAGACGTTTTGGCTTCTATATTGAGTCTTCAATACATAAGTCGAAACGTTGTTTCCTTTTCTTCCAACAGACAGTTGCAATCCGTTCACGTTCTCAAACCTCCCGTTATTTGAAAACAAGAAATAAACTGACAAACATTTAGCATTATATTTATAACGGTAGACATATTAAGAATATTATGTGGTTGAAAAGCACAACTATAAAGCAGACCAATGGTAGAATTTTATCAAAGATAAGCAATTTACGTACGTAAATAATTAAGGGAAGTACTCTGTTAGTATAACTGAAATAATTTTTTTTAGAATTAGATACTTTATATATATTTTTAATAAGGCAACAAGTCATTAGGGCAATAAGTACGTAAAACTGCCTAAATATTAACTTAAAAAATGGAAAACTAGTATTATTTATACAGTTACAATATTTCGCCAGCTTAACGTGGCATTATCAGGTACATCAACTACAATGAGTGAACTAGTAATCTAGAAAACACGAAAAATTACATTGGTAATCGATTGGTTGAACTTAACAATGATTAGAGAATGACGAATAAATAAATAATCTAATAAATCAGAAATATCATAAAACAAAATATCTGGAAAAACAAATATAACGTAGATTATATCCTGCCGAACAGAAATCAATAGTGTTTGAAGTGATACTTAATATCCATAGTAACGTAACATACTAATTATCAAGTTGGAACGAATGATCACGCTTGAGCATATTAACATGAGAGAGAGGCTTGTTACTTTCTTTATTATGTTGAACTTCCTAATAAAGAAAAAAATATAAGCTGCTGTTGAACCTAAAATGAATAGACATTCTGGCATACAGTTATATATTTTTTAATTTCTGTTTAAACTCATAGTTGTCGAATGGTTGTAAACATATTATATATTTTTTCCTATTTTTAAGGTGACTTTGTAACATAATGTCATCTAGACTATTCTAATCTAACGGAGTTAAACCTAAAATGTATTATAATTATGTATAGTATACGTATTTGTGAAATTATCTTGTTATATAGACTTAACGTTTATAAGAATATTAACATTCTTGAACCCACCGTTGTTTCCAACTGACATTAACTTTCAATTGAGATGAAGCATATCTATCAATCAGACTTGTGCCTTAAGCCAAACACACAAGCATATATTTTGGCCTAATTAGTACGTTAGATTTACTAAAGATATTTGTCATAACTTCAAACACTATTGATTCCTGTTCGACATGATATAATGTACGTTAAATTTGTGCTTCAGACATTTCCTTTTATTTTATTTTGGTTTATTAGATAAATTACTTACCTTTCATTCTCACAAAAGAATAATCGACTAATCATTATTAAGTTCAAAAAATCAAATACTAATGTACTCATCACCTAGTTTTCGTGTTTCCTAGATTAAGAGTTCATTCATTGCAGTTGATGTATTGAACAATGCCAGGTTAACCTAATGAAATGTTGCAACCATACAAATAATATCCTGTTTATCCAATAATAAACAAGCTCTTTAGTTATAATGATAGAGTAGTTCCTTCATTTTTGAGTATTCTTCATAATATAAAGTTTTCGACAGGCTTTGTTTAGATTGGATAAAAATAAGAGTATTTATAGATGAAAGAATCGCCACTTCACACACCATGTTGTTCTTAAACTGGTTGTCTAGAAAATGCATTGCCACGTGAGATGGCAACAAATTGAAAAGAATACGGCGGTTATTATTCTGCAATTGGTTCATCTCTACCTTTTCTTCATTTGCCTGAAAAAATAAAAACTTCAAATTAGCAAAAAGGCACAAATGTTTGTGCATTGATAGAATTTTAAAATAATTTTCTATGAAACTCATCAATATAAGAAAAAGTAAACCAATAAAAACTGCAATTCAAATTGGACTCTTAAGCCTATATGTAGAACTAATTCCGATCCTTACCGTCCCTTCCAAAGAAAAAAATAATCGAAACAAGTGCTAGGAAGTTCAAAGAGCTTATAAAACAATTATGAGCTATCACGGAAAATAAGCTTCTTTTTCTTCCAGAAACATTCAACAGTATCTTACATGACCTTAGGTTCACCTCTATAGCTCATTCTATATTAACAAAACATAAAAATATTAATAATCGGCAACTAAGTACGGTGACCATCTTCCTGTATTGGTATTTATGAAATCTTTTTCTGCTAAATTTCCGTGGTACAATTCAACTATTTTGTGTATTTATACTTGTGTAGAAACTCAACTTTGATACAGTTGCTACTGTTACCTTTTCCTGGTTAGGTGAAAATGCATTTATTCTTATATGATGCGCACCTTGAGCAAAATAAACTTTTAAAGTTATACAAGCTCGTATATTTGAACATTATGAGTTAAATAACCGAGAAGTTAAAAGGTTTTCCATTTCTGTCTATAGCGGTGATGCAAAGCCTGGTTTATAAGTTATGAGAATTAATAGCGGATACAACCTTGGCTTATTGAATGCATAATGTGATAATTTTGTGCAATTTTGTTTTATATCATTGTCATTTGCTTATATTTCTATTTTCTTAGTCTGTAGGAGAAATTGGTTGGCCTAAAATATCTTTTCTTCAAGCACATAATACAGTATCCACTGAAGAAAGTTGAGATGTCACAGAAGCAGTTTAAAGGTCCGTTCCTAATGTGCTGACCAAAGCCCATCTATAGAGTGAGGTGTTTTTTTTCTAAAGTTGCCCCTCAATGGGTCAGCGGCATGTCTGCGGACTTACAATGCTAGAATCAGGGTTTCGATACCCGTGGTGGGCAGAGCACAGATAGCCCATTGTGTAGCTTTGTGCTTAACTTCGAACAAACAAACAAACCTTCTAAAGTTATAACTATTCTAAAATATTTTTAAGTATTTCTTTCTCCTACTGAAAGTTAATATTCAGGTACTTTACACATTGTACTGAAAGCATAAATAGTACGATTTTATTGTTTATTAAACTCTATGTTATGAGTTACTTATCAGTGTAAAAAGCAGGTAACAGCATTGAGGCTGGAACATTTTCTGTAGTGGGGTGCTGAATACCATTGAACAAAATCGAAATCCCTGTATATGATTGAAACCATACATGTGCAGCAATCCCATATATCAGGCCAGGAGGTGCTACCGCACTCTCAGCACCCCTATTTCCCGTGCCCTTGAATGACAAATGGAAGGCATATCTACCACCAGTGTTATCTTAAATAAGGAGTTTCAAGTTTTTCTTATCCATGAAATCAACACTGTGATTCTTAATTTTTTATGCCAGATGATGACAGAGAAAACACCCCAGGAAAAAGATAGGTGTGGTGAAAATTGCCCTGATATTGAAATTACAAGTACGTAGAGCAACTAGAGACACCTAGAAGTGATACAACTGAGTAG